CGTTAAAAAATTTAGCATTGAACTTTGAAGGTTTTTGATAACAAAATATTACGTATCGAAATTTAACCGTTAAATTTCGATTTCGAAGGGTTGCGACACAATCAATAACCTTTGAAATCTAACGTTGCGATATAATTTCGAAGGTTTTTGAATTAATATAATTACTGATGATATTACAAAAAGAATACGATTCTCTAGAAGATATTCCAAATTTTTACTTAAATAATCTTCACCACTAGATCATTTATTTCCTGAGATCGAATTAACAAATTTTGTTTGGAAACTTAAAAAAGTACTTATTAATTACAATAATGTAATAAATACTAATGAAATAATGTATCATACATATATCAATGCCTTCATAACAACTGTCAATAAACATATAATACAACACATAGATAAGAAATTAAGATTAACCAATAAAATAGGTCTAGATGAAAGTTTTGGATATGGTCTCACAGATTACGTGATGAAAGTTGTTGATATTTTGGTATTGATATGTAAAGCAAAGTTAGAAAATATGAATAAGAGATTTGCGCAGTTAATAGTTCAAATGCACAGCATAATAGAATAACAAGTGAGACGTAACAAAGAACAATAATTGGGTAAATACAAGTGTGAGCAAATGGAACCAATAATATTTGAAATTGTTACGACTGGAAAGTTGTGACATTTTTTCCATTGGAAAAGATCATCGGAAAGTCAACAGATTCAAATTACTAAAGAATTTATTTGCAATTTTATTAATACTATGGAACCTGAAAAAAAAGTTTTAAATTATATTGCACAAATATTACAAATTCAGGCCAAGACATTTGGTGATTGTGATGATAATGATAAAGATAGTGGCCATTCACAAAAATATCAAGAAGTAAGTGATAGATGAAAGAATTTTTTGACATGTATTTTCATTTCTATATATATTATTTTTTTTGCATTGATCATCTGTGCTTGACCCAGTAATGTATTTTTTTTAACCATGTACACATTGAAAAATAAAAAATATATGTATATATTTTATAGAGTAATAATTAAATCATTATCAGAAGATAATTAAAAATTTATCTTTAATAATATATACAATATTTTTTAATAATGGCATTAAAAATTATTATTTAAATAATTTTTTTAGTAATATATTGAGCCAGTATGTACATTTTGCATGTCTCCAGTTTTTTTAGCTGTCTCTATTTCCCATATTCCACTGTCCCTATTCTTAACTAGCCTATAAATAGGTTTTAATAAAAATTTTTGTCCTAACATTATTTCAAAATGTCCCTTGACAACACTTTATTGAGCATAATCCCATTAAATTAAAAAAAATATATATATATATATATATGAATATTCATTCTCATCATTCTAGAAAAGAATAAAATAAAATTTCCATAAAATAATTAATTTTCGACAAAAATTAATACTAATAATCTTCTTTGTTGCCTTTAATAAAAGGATAAAACTGATTAGTATATTTTGAGAAGGGATAAATTAGAAATATTCTTTGACTTTTCGTTTCTGATATCACCAAGTAACTTCAAATTATTATAAATTACATATGCTGTTTATATAAAAAGGAATTATAATGACATATCAATAAATGATTAATAAAACAATAAATAAATTCATATAACATAGATATAAATAATATCTTATTAAAATTATATATGTACTCTTTGCTTTTTGTAATTGATAAGCTTTATAAGCAACAGGACTGTCTTATTTAAATTTGCAATGATTCTATTTCTATACATCAATGCATTTGTCACTATAATAAATAAATTAATCAATAAAAAAAATAATAAGTAAATATAAATAAATAAAATAAATAAAAATATGGAATAAAATAAATAATCAATAATGTTTTATTTATTTTTTTTTTGATTATTATTGCTCTTTGCAAAATTATGTGGTTATGTGATAAAACGATCTACTAATAAAATGCTGAAAACCAGTGATTACAAAATACGT